GGCCCTGGCTGCGCCATGCCGGGCGACGTCACGATACTTGATTTTAATCTATTCATAAAGGGCTTTTGAACTGCTCTTAGTCTGACCTGTCACCCAGGACCTGTTTGCCTTGGGGTACCCTACCAGGGACATATAGCCCCCGACAACATAGCTCCTAGGATCACTCGGGTACTCAAACCCCTCCACCACAATAAGGTGGCGGTTCATATACTGTAATGTTTCTTTAATTACTACATTTTTCTTTGACTAGATGTCATTTTGTTCTTTTTATTACATGTAGACTGTAAATTCAGCCCTCTGAAGTTCCTCAGCGTCTGCACTAACCCCTAAAGATCATTTAGATGAAAAAATGAAATGCACAAAACCAACAAGTTCCTCTGCAGTTGACCTGCTCTCTGGTACCAAATAAGGCACCTCTCATTCACATCCATGTCCTGAACCTGCATATAATTCAACGTTTATGGCCATACCACTCCACAATCCCTCATCTCCTGCATGCAAGTCAACACCCGAGTCACTGGAAAAAAGTTTGAACATTCAAGTGAGCTTTGTGACAAATGACTCATTTGGTCTTAAAGGTATAGTCAGCGATTCCAAGTTATTAAACATTTTGTCATATTCAGCTAAATTTTCCTCCCATTTCTCTGCCTGGCCTTTCAGTTTGTGAACCACCAGGTGAGTGTGTGCTGTGCTCGCTCTAACAGGTGAAAAAAGGAACGGAGGTGGGCGGGGGTTTGGTTCAGAAGATTCACAATATTGCTGCAGCTGAAGGGGTGAGATGGCTGAAATAGAACCAGCTCAATTGCTTCCACTTACAACTATACAACTAAACAACCCAGGCAGAGAAAGACAGAAGCGTAAGGTCGGACGGAGACGTGGGCTCTTCTTCCAGTCGTTAGTATCACTGCCGTGGTAGTGCGTGTTCACGAATTGAGAGTGACGTGGTTAGGTGAGCCTAACTGAAATGGCCCCTGGATTTGTGTACATGGTGATCAGAACGTAAACATTCTTTTCTAGAATCGCTGAATATACCTTTAATAGAGCAGGTTACATTAGAGACACCTTCTGACAGTCACTGAAATATTCACATTCCCACCAGTCACTGGCACTGGAAGAAGGATGGTAATTGCTGGTGTGAAGCTAGACGAGGCAGAGATGGGTATGCGATGCTAACACAGCTGATTATGAGTCACTGGGCCCTTGTGCTCCTGTCAGATGTGCATTTGGACAGGGTCTCTGGGGGCAAGGTGATAAGTGCAGCCTATCTTCTTTGTATCATTATGTTACTGGGAGCAAGACTAGCTTGTAACTCATTACATTTAGGGAAGCATACAGGTGCGCTGCATTTTTTCTTGCAGGTGTAAAACCTGCCTGTCACACATGGATTCTTACTTTGAACAGTTTCTACTAGGGAAGCTCATGAACAGTAGCCCAAAGAAGTACAGTATAATATTTCTTTGAGCTATTTATTATTATTTCTTGTATTAAACCCGTTCCCCTTTTCTTACAGATGTTAATAATGCTCATGTGAAGAGCAGAGAAGAGGCCTAAAGGTGGTCTTGAACAAAAAAACAAAAACAAAAAAGTGTCACAATAAAGACAACATTCTTCAGGCAGAGCAAAAAGTGAAGATGTATTACAAGCCATTTAGTCAGGCATATTGTTATTCTTCTACTGAGTCTATCTAAAAAAACAACTGTCAAACCTGATCTGACAGCAAAAGAATTAAAACTTCAATAAAAATATTTCTAAAAACTTTTGTGTGAACCCCAAGGTTATGTCTTAGAAGCCATAGTATTCTATTTCAACCTTTGGCCTAGCAAAATCTGTAATTTTCCTTTAGAGGTTCTCTACATTATTAAGGGTGGTGTTGAGCTTTACCCACAGTTACAGTACAACTGTGCCAAATTACAGCTCAGCTGTATTTACATTCCTATCTCACCCTTGTTAAACAGCAGTTCTCCCAAAAAATACAGCTACTTAGAGTAGTTGAGGAAGAAGCAAGTCCTGACTCCTAACCCTTTCTCCTTTCTCATCACTCCACCTCCTCCTGCTCTGTTGCCTGTTTCTCTTTTGCTATAATGTGTTTACTGCCTGCATGGCAGATAATCAGTTGTATGCCTGCTCTTTTCCTCTGAATGTTGTTTTTCTCCCAGCAGGAAAGTACAGGGCACTCAGGCATTTGTTCTACCCTGTCACAGAACTTGGAGCAGGGTGCATACATATACAGTATTTACCTGAGACTGGCGAACAATGAGGGAGAGGCATGGTGTGAGGCACAGCAACATAAACATTATTAGGTTCAATAAGCTGGTGAACACGATGCTGCATTTAGCAGCTAAAAAACCAGGTGTTTCTGTCAGGAGCTGGAGGAGACCAAAACAGAGCTACATATCAGCCTGAATGTTTCCACTAAATGCTCAGGCAGCTTTGTTTTGACTGAATGTTTAAATAGGTAACTCTACACCAACATGTTTGCTAGAGTAGTACAATTCTGGATAAAGTATCATGATTTCTTTTTTACTCAGAACTGAGATCATGATTTTCTCTCATGGCTCCTGAACTATACATTTATCTCTCTATTAGTTTGGCATCATGCCATCTTTATGAAGACAGACAATACGGTTATTATTGAAATTAAACTGTTTAAACTATGCTACTCTGCTAGCGCTAATGTCAGCATGTAACATAACTTTCAAAACTACATGATTTTTAATGTGACACTATACTTGTTGCAAACATATACATTACCATTCTGAACTTCAACCACTGACTATATAAACAATGGACACGCTGACAACTTCCAGAAATGACGCCACCAAAAGTTTATTGCCACCTGGTGGCTGGTTGCAGTATAGGTCTTAAACCCCACCTCCTCCATGTTAGTGGATGGGACATGAGCTCAAAGTAAACAAAAAAACTCAAAGTACAAATCAAATACATTTTTCCCTGAGGTCACTTCTATGGTTTTTGGTAGATATCACACTGATGTGTTTACAAGTGGTCATTTTTCTGGTATGTTTTAATAAGTTATTTGATGATATAAAAAGAGGTGTATTTAAGTTGACAGCATCGACTGGCGGTCCGATACTGTCATTCCACTTCTGGTCACTACTGCGAAGAATCTGGTTGCAAAATGCAAGATGGCAGCCGCCCGAGTGATGGCACCATGTCCATCATATTATATATATAGTCAATGACTTCAACTAGCTGTAATTTGAAAGTAAAATATGATGACACTGCTTGAAAAATTCTCTTATGACAGTCCACAATGAACTCTCACCAACTTACCATAACTGTGGATCTTGCATCGAAGGCCACACGTTTGAGCCTCTGGATGATACCATCACCTCCATATGCCTGCAGGGAGACTATAATTTACATTTCACACCGAAGCACATATTGTACGGCAGGCAGGTGTAATTCATTCTTCTTGGCATCTACAATATGATGCCAAAAATGGCTGACAACTCCAAACTAACCAAGCAGTTGCCAATATTTCAACAGACTACTACTCATAAACTGTTCAAGAAGCAGAAGCCAAATGTGTTATGGTCAGTTCCTTACAGACTTTTAAAATATTGCTTAATTAATCACTTACATGCACACAATCATCTGAAGTGCTGGACTCTAGTTTGTTCACTGTCCAGCAGTTCTGCTCCGTCTTAGCTCATTTACTGGCAAAAGCACATGGGCAGCCAGTGAATGGTATGTCCTGATGCTAATTCATCAAGATGACCAATTAGCGGGCTCCAACTAAGCAGGACTTGTGTGAAAGAGCTAAAGGTACGCATGAGAGGATTTTTGTGGAGCCATCTGTTGCACATACTTAACTTATGCTGTGCAAGGACTGCATAATTAGAGTTTTTAGAATTCTGTTAAAGTTCTTTCTTAATTGCTTAAAAACTGAGGCCTGTGTACCACAAACAACGAGTGAAGATATATTAAAATAATAAAACATTTTCCTAAAACCTTGCTAGAGGGATGCCAAAGCCTGCCAACTGCCATCCTGGCTGGTTCATGCTTCATGTCTGGCTAAACACACTGGCTGTGTACCTACTGTGTTTGTGCATTTCATGCTGCCTGTTAGAAACACTCACAAATTAAACTAATTTAGTCATGCATGGAAAAAGGTCAGCCCTCAACATTCCTCCCAGAAAAGGAAAACACATGAAAAGAACACATTTGAAATATAACTGTTATCAACAGTGTTTTTTGTTTGCAATTTCTGAATTCAATTTAATGCCTGTAAGAGACATCATTTTACATTTCTACATGTAGCACGAACCAGTCTTGACACACCTTATGGCAGACTTTACCAGCATGACACGAAGACGCTGAAACTGTCCAGGCTTTGGCTGGACTGCAGAAACATGGAGGTTTCTGTTGCTGTTTATTTGGAAGTAGGTGGTTTGTTTTGCCAAGCGAAAAATAGCCCAGACCATTCTTGGGGGGAAAATAAATAAATAAATAACGACAGGATCTCTGGCTGTTTGGCCTATGGTTTCATACATCTGTTGACGTTTCTTTTCCAGATTAGTATACGCACTACAATGCTGAGTCATGTAGCAATCTCAGTGTTTTACTTAGAAGACAGAATTATTATAGATGATCTGTTCAGAGGGGACAGCAATCTGAAATGTAAACATGCAAAAGGAGATTGCAAAAATACCTCATCTGGTGAGAATATTCTCCATAGAGGACTTAAAACATGGCAAACAAAGCAACATGCTTGATTAATAAAGACTACTGGTGTGATTACAATGGTACAATCTCAAGTTGGGGGGGCTACATGAGCTGAATGCATAAGCAGAAAGCAGGAGAGGAAAGAGAGAGTGAGGAGGAGGAGATCTAGACCTGTGCAGAACCGTTCAGAACACTGTTGATGAACTGGACCAGCTGCTCCATGGTCTCGATTGGCTCACTGGGCAGGAAGTACTGCTCGTTGGATGTGTTAAAGATGATAACAGAGGGCACTGTCACCTCACTGAGGAGGAAAAAACAGGGAATGCAGCTTTTAATCTTTTTTAACCTAAGCATCTTGGACTGCCATTATCAAAGTGTATCATTAGATGGGAACCAATTGTGCTCTCTTAAAGAATAAACTGTATCACAGAAAATACAATAGTGAGATAAACTCTTTTCCCATGGGTATTTGTTCAAAGAGATTTCTTTTCCCAAGGACGATGCCTTTCTTCATTTAATGCAAACAGTGTGCAACTCAGGGGCTTTATGGGTCTGTGTTAAAGAGATCTTTACAAATTACATCTGACAAGTGAATCACAGGGCGTCCAGAGGAAAGCAGCTCTGCACCCATGCTGAGAAACGTACAAAGAAACCCAGTGGGGTCCAGTGATCTCAATCTTTTCAGCAGAAATTACAGAAACAGAGACACACTTTACACTCTCAAGCCCACTTATTTTGACAAATCAGCTGAAGAATTTCAAAAGTCAGTGAGATAACCAACAAGGTCATATAAACAAGTAATCCCTCTTTCAAACATCTTGCACAACACTAAAGCTGGGCTTAGATGAGGTATCCCAGTGCTTAGATACACACAAATACACAGGCGGGCACATGAACAGTCCATCATAGCACCGACAACTCACATCCCTGCGGTGTTGCTCAACCCCACAACAAATTGCACACACACGCGCACATATCCATCACTGTCCCAATCCGCCACCCAGCTGAGATTAGGAGTGCAAACACACGCCCGTGAGGTAGATTCATCAACGTCTCACTGCTCTGCCCAGCTGAGATCTGCAATCACCTACTGTATAGTACACACACACACACACACACACACACACACACAGAAGGTGCATTTCCATCTAACATCCAGTCTACTCCAACAGATGGTACCCATTTAAAATAAATATGAATTAGCCCATTCACCTCTGTGAGTGGAGATTACCAGGGCCTTGTCGCCCATAATGAAGGGTCATATACTGTACACTATATAATCACAACTGGCAGCATTAGGGCACACTTTTAATTTCCTGTTTGCTGCCAAAAATGGCGGCCATCATTAGGACTAATATTTATCAGCGTTATTTTGACATTTTAGCCAACTATATTCTTTTTGCGTGATGAAATAATGTCTTGGCAAACGTGTTATGCTAAGGTGGTGTAAGCTAAGTGTGTGGCTTTAACAAACCTGGTTCTTTTTCAAGTTAAAAACACTCCCTAATAACTTACTGTATCTTACTTTTATTTATTCAGTCAAAATGGTAAAAGGCAAATCTGTGGTACTTACATGTGGAAATAATACTCTGTTAGTGTTTTGCAAAGCTACAGTAAGCTAACTGCATCCTGGCTTTAGCTTAACATACAGGCATAAGAGTGGTAAACTAGATGAACAATCCTTTAAATATGCTATTTTGATTAAAAACTTTAAAATATATATAAAAACACTGTAGTCCGCCTTTTTAAGCAGTAGTTTAAATGGTAGAAAACGGGCTTATTTGCCTTCTTGACAACAGTAGGGCAAAAAGACTGATACCAAAGATTCATAAAAAAAGACCTGAATAAAGCAAAATCTAAAAATCCAGATAACGGTTACCTTGCAGAAAATCTGTAGTTTAGCCATGGTGGACCTTGATGTTGTTTTTACTTACTGTAGTCTGGTAATGGCACATTAACAGCAGTTCATCTATTCTTTTCTCCCCAGTTTTTCCTTTTCACTTTCTGTTTTCAACAGCATTTTCTGAGATTTAATTATGACAGGAGGATTTAATTAAAAACTGTGATAATGATTATCATACTGTGTCGGTTTGAATTGATCTGCTCGTTTTGAATAACCCCGGTATGTTTTGATAAAAATATTTAGAATGAAAAACAAAAATTCTGGAAATAATGGAAAGAACATTGAGCTGAAACTTGTCATTATTATTCATCAGCTGTGGAAATAATAACAATACACTTATTCATTTATGGCCACTGGTTTATAGTTATTCACCTGCTGCGATTCCAAGCCTTCCCTTCATACACACAGGCTCTTCAGTCACCTCACATCTCTTAGGTTTTTCCACAGTCCACAATGCAGTGCGTACAAGGAGTTAGAGATAATCCTACATTTAAACAGACCCAGAGACTGCCTCAGACTCAGAGCGGTGCTCATGTTGTGTATGTGTGTATTCATGAGTGTGTCTGCGTGGCTCTGGTGAAAGCAGGGGCAGCCTTATGGCAGACAGACCGCTGCCAGAACACAGTAATCATTGTGATGACAGAAAGAGGGATAAAAAGCCATCAGATTTATTTCCTTGGTCCTCCTAAGGGAGAGGATTAGTGGACACTGACAGGCCTGGATTTCATTCCTCAAAGGAGGGCAATTAATCCTGTGCTACAGCAGCCAAACTCTGTCCTGTCAAAAACCAGCAAACTACATATTGTATGTACTCACACAAAATTAGGAAGGCTAATCACCTGTTATCCTGAAATATAAACAATGCCCATCCAATTTTAGCTGAGCACCAGGAGTCTCCTGGTTGAATGTTGTCATCAAATATCCAATCCAAGTTACTACTGACTCACTTTTAATTACACAGGATTTAGGAGACTGTGTTTGCTACAATCTCCCTCATACAGACAATAACATGGTCCGTTTAAACAGCAACTATTACACCTGCAGATTCTCACAGAAACATGCACACAACATTATACAAAGACATGCATGATTAGATAATGGACGTGCATAGACATGAAACACTCCTGCTGGTCTGAAACACCAGAGTGCTTCTAATTAAAAGTATGGTGATATCTTTTACAAGGCCTCTCTGAGCTTGACACTCCGACAGTCAAACTCAGCAAGGGTGCAGGGCTGCTGCTGCTCGGCTTCCTGCATTATTAGTGCTGCTCTATGACAAGCTATTAAAACACACGGCCACTACAGCTTTAATCCTCGTACAGCCTTATCTGTAAATTCCTCATGCGCCCTTCACTACTGTGCCCTCACCCAAGCACATTTACAACAGCTTGTACACCCTTGTGTTTTTTCATATGCATGATGGCGCATGGTTAAAATTGTCAAGGCAGCTAAAAAGGAAAAGACAGTCAGTCTGGATAACTGCCTTCTCCACAAGAGAACACCGTTAATGGCAGAAGCTGGCATTATAAGTCAGCCCAGACCTGGATAAGTAGCTGAGAGAAGACGGCATGAGGGAGAGAAAGAGGAGGATGACATGAGAAGAAAGAAGGAGGCTGGATACAGTAGGAGACACTCACCCCATAATGAGGCTGTTAATGTAGTCATTCCCTTCCATGTGGCCAAACTGGAAGTCTCTGGAGGTGCAAGAGAAATCAGTGGCATGAGAAAGCAAAACAATGCATCAAAAACAACACACAGCAGGCTTTCTCTGTCTCACTGCACAACACTAGAACAAAACTGCAACACAAACTTTCCTGCACAATAACATGCAAATATGATTTGCAGGGGAAGACTAAACCCAAAGCTTTGTCTTGTGACATCTCCTGTTTCTCATCATCTTTTCAAGCACAGAAAAAACTGATTTATCTGAACGATAAGGCAGGATGAGGAATTCAATTTGTATCTCATTGTGCTGCACTATATCTGAGCAGAGTGTATTGTGGGTAGGCTAGGGAAGGGGATTGCACAAGTCAAGTGAAAGCCAGTGACTTCCACTGAATGACTGATTATGGGGACCTCTTCATATTTATTTTACTCATATTGAATCAGAGCTACATCAAGCACGTATGTCCCGTGGGCACTACAATAGTGCCTGTTCTTTTATCAATGACATGATTATGAAGAGACCAAACTTGGACATAATATAAAATAAGTCTTTTAGTGATAATGTTGCTGACAATAGTGGGCCAGACTGGGAATAGAGCTCATCAAAAAGTCAGGCTGTAACTTTTGCTCTCAAAGCTACAGCACTTGGAATTATGGAGTTGGGAAACGATCTACATGTCCGACACTGATGTGGGCGTACAGGGACACGAGTTCCTGGCACACAATCTGAGATGTGGAAATTAAATTCCTCTTGCTGTTTTTGACTTTATTATTAATACCCTGTCTGGTCAAAAACATAAATATTTGCCTATATGTTTCCCAAGAATGTCCTTCTTTCCAACCCCAGTGACACTTCTTGGCCTGACTGATGAGCAAACTGGCCAAAAGGGTTGAGTAACTTATTGAGTAACGCTTGTGTGAGAGGAGGCATGGAGCAAACTGAAGGCAAGAATGTGCAACACATTTTCCTGGCAAATGCTGCCACATTTTGCAATAAGAAGAGGAGTTACTGACAGTTTACTCAAATGTTCCCTCTTGAACTGAGTAAGTTATATGTCCATTTATCCAGTCGCTGACTATGTGAGTGCTGTCAGTTTTTTCAGCGTCTCACTCCTCTGTGCATGTGGATGTCACCTGTCACCACAATTCAGTGTTGGTTCCTCACAGGTCAATAAAAATAAACATGGAAAAGAGCTCCAACAGGGACGGGGGTCAATGGAGAGACAATGACCTTACACATTTGTCAGAGAAGTTTCTGATCAAGCCAAGCCAGAAAGAACATACAGTATCAGTACCAGGCAGTTTTTAAGGGAACTGCGCTATTTGATCATTGCAGCACTGTTGGTACTCTTGAACACGCATGGCTCACATTTCAGCTAAATCTGTGCATGTGTGGCAGTTTGGGACTGTAATGGTGTTCACACACTGAATTGTACACTTACAAACATCAATGAGCAACAACATAAACAGATGATTGGGCTAAAAATGTCAGAACTGCATTAGGCTGTGTAATGTGCACCTAGCCAAATTCAACTGATCCTCGATAATACAAAAAAACATTAATTAGGCCAGTTTTAAAGTGTCCTGAAATGTTAAGAATGTTTCCCAGAGTCTTGATTTGAATCCAGTGCCCAGTATGGAGTAGCTTCTTGTTGTCTAGTCCACTCTTTTTGCACCAATGATCTATGCATCAACTGTTGCATAAAAGCCAAAACAATAATTCAGAATTTAAACCCAAGACACACCCACTGACAAAAATCAGACTTTCCCACAAGTACAATCTGAGCACGCCACATGCCTTTTCTCTGCCTACACACAGACAAGCTCCCTCTAAGATCTGAGATTTGCATTCATTGTTCTGTCAAAATGCTGCAAATGGTGGGTGAGCTGAATACCACGCCATTTATTACAGCTTTAGCTCATTCAAATGTCAGTCATCACCCATGATCTGTTGTCTCTCAGCGCTGCCTCCACCTACCACCATGGGCGACACTCAAGCCTATGACTTCTAATTACAAGTACCATTTAGGTGCACTAGAACACTGCAGGCAGCTCTGATTTCATTCAGGATGTCAAAATCAAAAGTCTTCAAAGAGCAGCACTGGGTAGTGTAGCAGATAGTAATCTAATTGATGATAGGGATCTCTGTAATTCAATGAGTCCTAATGGGAATGCCTGGAGAGGGAGAAACACTTTGATCATGGAGGTTTGAGAGTTATGGGGCACGGTATGGAGCTTAGGCACAGCGTAATGATCCAAATGTGATATCTTCTGTATTAAAGAGCTGGTATTATAACTGTACATCTGTGAAATTTCTTTCAGCCAAGGTTGTAGATTTCTATAAATTCATCTGTACAAAACAGCCCAGTCCTTTTAACAGGCTGGTTTGGAAATTCTTAAGACAAAATGTACATTATTCATGAGCACTTACTCTGATTAGCTGAAGGTGATGGCTCATCTTCACCACAAGCCAATCAGAAGACGAACTACCTACTCTGAAGTATCTATGAAATTTAACTTGTCTTCATCAAGAAATACATATGAGAGGATTATTCATGCTGTTCCTTTCCAGGTTAAACAGATGGTGTCACAGGATATTCTGCACTTCTGTCAATCTGGTACTATGTCTTTTAAAAATCAGCAACATAAATGTGGTTGATGAGCAATGTTCTAAGTCCTTTATCAGAGCTCAGCTTCTTAATATATGTTATCCTCCACCTGCAAGAAGAAACTATGTATTTGATGGTCTTTCAGGCCATATGGCTTGTGAAATAAGAAAGAGATACATCTCATTCCCCATAATTCCTAAAGCCAAAGAGATGCATTTCAAGATGCTGAATGAATTCTACCCCTCTAAAGAATTCTTATGATTGAAATTTAATATGGATGAGAACTGTTGTACTTTTTGCAACTCTGAGACAGAGACACAGATCACTTGTTTTTCTGTTGTAATCGTAAATTTAACTTTTGGGCATGTTTAAATGACTGGCTCAGGTCCAAAATTGATTTCTTAGCACTCTTCACTTTAGAAAGCATCAAATTTGGTATATCTCTGAAAGAAAAAGATTTGTAATTCTTGGTGAATAACTATCATTTTGGCAAAATATTATATTCGTAAATGTAAATGGAGTAAAAGGCAACCATGCGTTTAGACATGAAATGTCTGTATGTAAAAATCCCTGGGCTGCATGAGTGTTAAAGGAGCCCGAGGTCTTTTGTCTGCAATTGGACAATTTGATTTATTATAAGCCCCTGGCTATATGTTTGAATGTATTTAGTTATTTATTTATTTATTTGTTCTTTCTCTCTCTCTTCAATCGATTACTTTGTTCTGTTCAGTTATTAAGGAATGTGATTTGTTGCTCGGTTCTTAATGGATTCTGTAGACAGTTTTACTTACTTGCCTTGTATGTTTGTAAATATGATGTTCAATTAAAAAAGAAAAAATCAGAAGACGAACTAACACCAGAACACGAAAAAACACCATTTAATATCCACTATTAATGAAAACACAAGATGTGTTGTAATGATGCACTAACTGTGGCCCAAATTTGAGCGTGAATATCAGCGGGCTAATGATACACTTGCTCTTCACCTTGTGTCAAACACAGAGGCAGCTAGCTTAGCTTTAGCAGAGCTCCCTACGATGTCACAACAGGCACTGCTCACTCTCAAGGCAGGAGATTGAAAATACTTAGTAATTGAAAAACATTGCAGAGATACAGCATGACAGCAGAGGAGGAGCTCCACCATCACCACAGAACATCTCATCTTTCTTTCTGTTTTGTTTTCCATCATACCAGCTCCTTAAGCATAGCTGCTTTAACCTGGGTTTAACCTTTCATCCTTAACTGTCCAATAGCAGCAAAATTAACAATAATACTGTTGTGAAATTGCACATTTTAAATGCAGTTCCTTTTCGTATGCATTGCCTTGTTAAATTGGTTTCTCTCCAGTAAAAGAGGTTGGACAAGGCAGCATAACATAAACATCTTATCTCCAGTTGTTATTGCACAATTTGAGCTGGAAAAAAATGGAAGATTATGCATTAATAAAAGCCAAGCTGAGTTTTTGACTGACAGCTGAAAAGAACACCTATATTTGGAAGCTGACATTTTGCATAATTACCTTTCTACAGAACCTCAACGGAAACAGCCGTGCCCTGACAAAGGCATAAACATGCTTGTGAACAGACAGACAGTGTTCCCTAGTGAGTGCACCATCCTAGAATAAATGGATAAGCTGGAGATTCATCTCTGACCTCATCACATGCCTTACCTGTTAAAATGTTCTCTGTATTCCTTTGCCACCCTCTGAATCAAGGTCTTTAATCTAAAAGCAAATGAGAAGAGAGTAAAACACCACGAGTCAGAGCCCAACCTTTTCTTAGCCGGTGCCTGCAATTTGTGGGGATATCCAAACAATAACAGCAAGCCTTATCTTTATTTCAAAGCTGTGCGCTTAACTACAGCTATTGTGGTGAGTGTATGGGAGTAATTTATATAGAGCCATGCGTTTTAATTTCAGTGCTCTTTGTACCTGCCACTCTCCTCTGTGGGGTCCTTCTCGTCGATGACTGCAATTGCCACCAATTTGCCTGAGGTTGCAGACAGGGATTACAAATCACAATCACACACAAAAAGATGGTAAGAAGACAATGGCAGGAAGATAAGAGGCTCTGGAGGACGCACATCGGCTCTCAACAGGGTAAAGAAAGGAAGAGGCACTGAGATCACTTTATTCATCGTCACTCAAATGTTAAGCTAGCTCTGGCTTTCTACTTGGTTGAACAAGTGGTCACTCTCTGGTAGAAGAGCTATTTCAGTGCCACTCAAAACCCAAACCCATGACATGACAAATGGGTCCACTTAAAAAAAACATTATACAACTTAAAAGGACTGTTATTCAGACTTGTATGGTTTGAGGCTATAAACCCCATGTTGTTTGGAGGAGAGTGCCAGCCTGCCCCCTGCTGGTCACTAACGGTGGTTGTGTGACAAGGTTAAGGTTTTGTAGAGGCAGTGAGGAGCTTAGCATGGAATAATGTTATACTGATACAGTTTCTAGCAGTGAGAATGGAAAAGGAAGATGCAGGTAAGCATTCATGGCTTTTAAAATGTGTATTAGGGTCTAATGCTTCTGTACATGGGAACATTTATAGCCTCTATACAGTATGTACAATATTCTGCTCATTTTATCATCATCCAAATGCTGTTGGTTGTGTGAAGGTACATAATTCTGTACAGTCTTGCAGTGCCTACCTAGGAATACCGATTTTACTGTTGATGTAGCTGAATCAACTGCAGTCCTGAATAATCAGGAAAGTCAGATTATTTTATCATAGCGATAAAGAATAGAGCCAGCCTCCTGTATTGCTGTGGGCTATTTAGTATAATTTATCCTCTTGATTTCAATTAAGTCAAAGAAACGCCACAATCTCAGGTTTAAAATAGCGTGCCTTAAGAAACCCATTATGAAGGGTTTCTGGGTTTTAATTAATTACCTGAATCATGGCCAATTAATAATTTATTTGTGCTGTGTGGATTATTTATAAGAGTGTGGAACATCTGGCTCTCCAAAGCTTATCAAATGGCTCAAATGGATAGTTTTGCATTGTTGTACTGTCTCAAAATTAGGTGTAGTTCAAAACTTTGAGAACAGGTTCAACAGTGTCAGCGGACTATTATTATTTTTATACTGTACTATCATACGGATATTTTTCATTCTTATTTAAGATTTTTGATAAGGCAGAAGTCAAAATTTTTTTTTCTTTGGTTGGAGTTTCTTAAATCTCAGTCTCACACTTTTAAAGAGTTGGAGTGTACTGTGACTATCAGAATCCACTCTCTGTCCCCAAAGAACAGCCTCCAGTGTTCTAGTACATCACAGTAAACTTCTACTGTGAATCTGTCAAATTGACTTTTAATTCGCTACCAATCCATGTCTTTGTCGTTCTGTCTATGCCTTAGGCTTTGACCCATAAAAACAACGTATTTATTGCTTCAGACAATTCATCGATTTTGGTTACACTTGTATTTAAACACAGGTCCCAGCGATGGAGTCAGTATGACTTTTGGTGTGTGGGATGAGCATCGACATGTTGCTCATCCACCCCCAAAAGAATGAACTCTGACTGAACTTTTGGCTGAAATGCCTTGAGACAAGACTTTTACTGGTTTTACAAACTCACTTCAATCCAAGCTCGGGGTTATTTTAACCAAGTGAAGAAGCAGACTACAGGTTGTCTTTATTGAGTCACACAATTAAGATGTTTTACTGACTGTTTCGTTTGTAGAACTGCCAATATGAAGCAGCAAATCTGGCAGAAATGGATGAAAAAACTAAACATACAAAATGGAACAGAACCAAATGTAAGCAACACCATCACTGCACATAAGGAGGTAAAATACTGTATCTAATATTAGAAAGCACAGAGCACCAATTTACTGCAGTTTGAGAGAACGTATGTACTTTAGTCCCAGGCTTAAATTTCCTTTTGGAGAGAAAATGTGAGCAGAGTAGAGCAAAATGCTTTATCTAGTAGAAAGTGCTGTTCTTTTCCTCATAGCCCAAAAGTAAAGCTTATACTTTTACAAAGGCCTTTGACAACAGCACAAGGCCACTCATAAATGTCAGATCTTTGATTAGAAAGGCACCAACTGCTAAACTGGAATGGGACAATTTGGGGGTGGGGCAATAAATAAACATAAAGGATTTTAGTGCATAGTAGAATTAAAGGCAAGCTGAGCGAAGCTCAAAATACATAGGCTACTACATATTCTGTAATTTACAAATGTTGTCTATCGATTTTGGTTCCATACTCAACACACAAATAAATCACACAGCTTATGTTTGCAACTAACAAATCAATGCCATTTAAAATATCTGAAAAATAAAACAAAGCTGAAGGCAAGTGATCAGTTAGTTAATTGAAAGAAAAGGAATCTTCAGTTGCAAATTTAAAAAAGTACTTCTAGCCTCTAGACCAAGCAGTTAATCAAAAAATAATCTGCAGTTTAATTGAGCATGAAGGAAATTCTTGTAGCTCTAAAATTAAGCAGAAGCTATATAACTATTTAAATGTTATTTGGATCTCATTTGTATCTATCTAAACATAGACAGAATACTAATATAATATAAAAAAGGGTAAGGAGCATACTAAATGTTATGAACATAAACTTTATGCATACGCCACCTGTTTCTCCGAGCTCATACAGAGTGAAGCCATCGATCTGCAGGTATCCTGGGAAGCGCTCCTTGTTCACCCACGATGACAAACTACCCTCTTCGTATTCTGCAATACAGAGAGAAAATCTTTCAGGAGGAGAAAAAAAAAAAGCTCTCGACATTCAACACACAACCTATCTACTGTATATTAAACGCAAACAGTGTATTGATGCCAGGATTGTGTGTTCCACCTGTGTGCTCTCAAGGGAAGAAAGAGCAGGACACAAGGGAGCAACCATAGACAGAGGTCAGCTAAACAATGATTAGAAATGACTCAGAGATGGCTGCCTCTGGGATAAGTTGTCAGGGAGGCTCTTTGGAAACGATGTCTGAAATGGCACAATGGACTGTAACACACGAGGAGCAGAGTGGGAGTCAGTCCAGATGTAAACCATCAACAGTTTGGTTGTCCAGGCACAAATGAAGGAACATTTGTTCTGACTAGATTGTCTCCGGTCATCATGTTGTCAAAGATTAATTTGCTATTTATTAAATTACCAAATCTCAAGAATTTTAAACCTTTTTTCCAGGGGAGCTAGTTCATCTGTTCTTAATTTCACAGCCATTACAGTATACTCCCATCTTCAGAAAAGAAAAACCCACATGTTTGGTTTTTAAATGACTCCACACAAACGCATTCATTTTCAAGACAGTTTTGCTACATTTTTACAGATTTGGAGAGAATCCAAAATTTAACAAATGCATCATAAGAAAAAACTAAGTGCAACAAAAACATAAAAAATAAAGAAGTAAAATGAAGGATCATTCCCGAATGTGAACCACATGTTGTTGTTACCCTAACATCTGGCAGCAGCATGCAAACAGGAACCAGAGTACGTCCCTCGAGGGTATGAGTAGGGTGTAGCGAGGCTGTTTAAACAATGCTGTTTTCTCTGGCTGAGAGGCTTCAAGACGCTCATAATTGATGTCAAATATAACCAGGACTGCAGTGTGACATGTTAATAAGTTATCATGACCTTTCCGCTACCATTACAGTAATTACAAGAACAGCGATGACTTTTACATGGTTCTTAAGTTGTAGTGCCCCAAAGGAGCTCGAAGCATAAAACACACTTTTAAAACCTCAAGGTTGTAGCGTACAGTAGTTTTACAATCAGTGAAATTAAAACAATGCATAACATTTCTCAGTACTGCTGCTACGCACAGGGAGAGGAGTGTTGTTATTAAGGCTGCTGAGTCAGTAAATCTGGAAGACATTCCAGTGAATTCTTTCCACAGATGTTCTGGCTTTAAAGACAGCACGCAGCTGCCTGACTCGCTTCTCCCAGAAGTGACAGAGCTGAAGGCCCCATACTGGGCCTGTACAGCCTGATAAACTGCTACTCCAAATGAACCTGCTTCACCTTGAAACAAATTAGAGCCGCTCTCTTGCTGGGCGCCAGCCTCGCAATCTCCATACTGCCCTACAGGAGCCTGTCAGCCCAGAGTCGCACAGCAGGAGACCAGAGAGAAGGATGAGGGGCAGGAGGGGGAGTAAAAACAGACAGTGGGTGGGAGCGTGGATGATCCAGCATCAGAGCATTCAGTGGAGGGAGGAGGCAGCTCTGACACCTTTCAAAGATGAAGGTTAATGGCACAGAAGACCTCCAAGACAATGAAAACAGCACAGAAACAAAACAGGGATTTAAAATAGAAGAGAGGCTGAGAAGGATGGTAATACTGCCAAAGATAACTCAGCCAGGGGAAGGTAAATGGACTTACACTTGTATAGTGCTTTTCTATGGACTAAAGCACTTTCACATTATTAACCCATTCACCCACTAGCACTCCCAAGCGTGCACACACTGAGTGTACTGAACTGAGCTTTTAATTTGTAAAAAGTAAGTTATTATTTCTTCTTTCAAAGGCTACAGTTTTCCTTTAAAGCTATTTGGTGATGAGTTTATTCTAAGATTTTCAAGTAAATATGTTATTCAAAATGTTCTGTATACAAGAGGAGCATTTTTTGACATTTGACAAATAGCAGTGTTTAGACCAAATGTTTAGCATAACATAAAAACTAATTGACCAGTATATGATGCAGGAAAAGATGAATATGGTCAATAGTTCTGACCAGTAACACTTTTCATCACCACTTCTTCCACAGTGACCTTGTCTTTGCCAAATAAGTGATAAAATGAATGTCGGCTGGGTGTGCGATCACAAAATGTCATTAGTGTGTTATCACCTTAAGAAGTGTGCTCTCATCTTGTCAGCACATTCATGGACTGTTTACTGGCCCGGGAATTAAATGCTCCCAATATACATATGCAAAACAGTTTGGTCAAACAGCTGGTAGCATTGTGTAGAGTGGCAAGGTCATAAACCACTTAACCGAAAGCCTTATGTAGAGCTATGAGTATTAGCTAGTGTGTTTTAATACTCAGAAGCACATTTGAAGATGACCGTGTTTGTGAGTGAACCATTTCTAAGTAACCTACTTTGTACACTTAAACCTTAATTACATTTGTCTTCTTATAGTACTTGCAGCCAGTAGCTTTCAGTGCACACAATGATCAAAACCAGTTGGCTTCTGAAGCACAATAACAGTGCAGAACTGTACAGAAGTATGAAACTGTGGGTTTGTAATTAAATATGCATGAGCTCCCGGTGCTGCGCTGTATTTTAACAGCACTCTTCAAAAGGGATGCTGCTGTTTGTGAAGTGCACTAAACCAGTCAAAGCTCAACAACAGAATGTCAAATATCACTTTACACAAAGCAACAGGCCGTATTTGGACAGAACAGTTTGGCTCAGTGGCATCTATTCCTTAAAAATACAACAAGACAGACGTGCAGAAGAAGACCAGTACGGTAAATGTGCAGTGAATCTAAGTATTTGATTATGCATTTTCACAAAATACATACAAAAACAAAAGCCAGCGGGGAGATGATAAAAGTCGCTTGTGTATTCTTGGAACTGCCAGCCTCTGTCGCTGGTAAACAGAAACAAGACAGCTCATAAAAAATAGAACGTGTTATACTGGATATTCACACACCAAGATAAATATCATAGTGCGTCTTAAAATGGGTCACTAGGCACCTATCCAAATGTGTCTCGGACATTTAGCCAAATAACTTTTGATAAAAAGCTTCTGACAGAGCATCATGCAAAATGAATGCAATAAAAACAGAGGAGGTGTCTGTTCCCTAATCCAACATCCAGGGACTGTAACTTCACAGCTGGACAGAAACCAGGCGCTGAAGACCGCAGGTGGGAAAAGAAACACCAGGCAAACTACTTTCTCTGATGCAGAGTGAAGAAAAAAATCTTCTGGATAAGCGCCGAAAGAGCTACAATCACATTATTTTCCACCAACAGAGCGTTTTTCTTCTACAGTTTCTAGAGCCTTAAAAGAGAAAGGAGAAATCCAACATTTGAGGAAGGACCCAGCCATGTCATTTCACCGTGCTGCTCCCCTTCTCAGTCCTTGACAAGCTTGATACACCGTCACCATGGCAATGCTAGACATTCACCACATCCTCCGTATCAGGGTCCTGGAGGTCTCTGCAGAGTGTGGAGTTTTTGTCATCAACATCTACTGTGGTGAACCTCTCCTGCTGCAGTTCTGGTGTAAGAAGCCCGCATTCCGTAACGGTCAGGTGGAGCAGACCGATGTGAACAGGCAGACAGTGGCGGAGATGGATTTTGTTCTTCGGGTGCTACACCG